ACACACACACACACACACACACACACACACACACACACACACACACACACGGCGTAAACAGAAATAACCTCAAGGTTAAGATTTAATCATTTGGGCCCTCTGTAGACGTACCGCACCTCCATTCACATACATAGAAATCAAAGCCAAGCTTTGTACACGTGCATGCACACAGGTCAATTTCTTTTTTTATATATATTGGGGTCAACGGTTTGGGATTGCTGGAATTTTTTTAATAGTATTGGAGAAACTCACAAACATACAGCCTAAAAATATCAATCTGTTGTGGTCAAATGGAAAACATTTCTTACACTGAACGACATATAAAACAGGCTTTTTATGTGCGTGCTGCACACTGAGTGAATAGCCATTATTACATGCTCTCTGTCTTTGTTTCTCATATCAGATACATACATTTATGCACTTGCATATAACTATGGTTTCACCATGCAGGCCCTGATGAGTTTTTGTTTGGATATGCTGTGTAGAAATGTTGTTGTTTTTTTTGGTTTTTTTGCTCTTCCATGTGTTCTGTGAAGTCTAAGAATGGCACAAAGGCAGGAACAGCAGCATTAAACTTTTTACTTGTTACCCATTTACCCACTGGTGTCACCTTAGTCTAACTGGTAAAGTTATCATTCATGGTGTGAAAGCACAGGGCTGGCTTACAGATCTTTATGTTCTGCATTAGATAAGATAAGTCAACAGTTTTTGTGCACTTTCTGTTTTAAGGCATTGTCATGCCATCGCAGGCAAAAATAACCAAATGACTTCTGCGCCATTGGCCGCACCTCTGTCTTAATGCAAATGTATGCAAACGTGAAATTCCAGAGATTTTCCAGTAACACGATGACTTTGTGGTTGGAATTTATCGGAGCTTAAATGGTGACTAAGTCAAGGTTACCGTGAGAAAGCTTTTGCTTTGATTGGCCAGCGAGACTAGAAAAGCGCTCTATAAAAGCAAGTCCATACCTGAGGATGAAGAGGCAGAGAACATACGCACGGACCCGTAATATTCAACTTAACAGAGGATCTAATGCAGACTTAATTTTTAGTCTGACCCTAGGAAATGTTTAGTGTCCTACTAAGTCATCTATAGTCTAAATTTGCACTTTGATTCACTGATTTTAAAAAAGAAAAATTCCGCAAAACATGATCTAAAGTTCAGCTGCTGCCTGCCATTTAATCCATAACTACATAAAACCTTATTTTGCAAATGTACAGTCTTGCATCTTTGAGATTCTGCGTCCTCTGCACATCTATGTCTGGTTGGCTCCTTGTAACAGCCAGCGCCTGTCTTCTATCGTCACATGGTTGATGGCAGTTACGCCTGGATTAGTTTTCAGTTAGATGAAAATGTGAAAGAAGAAGCAAAAGCAACTGTCACTGAGGATGTGACAGCGACTGTCAGGGCTCTGTTAATGCGCCGCTCCCTCCGCGCCCTCTCTGTAAATGTTTAGTTAAATACAGCCTCCGTTTTCCAAAAATACAACACAATAAAGCGCCCTTTGACCCCAAACATCGTGTGATGTCATAAATGTGCCTTTGTATTTTAGCTTTGAGGTACAAGGTAATGCTTCTCCATTCAGGCTCATGTGATGTTGTATGCTTTTACATTTGCTGTTCACTTGATCATTCTTTAAGATCATTTGTATTTTTAATCAATAGATTAATTTCAAAATAAAGGCCCGTTGCTAATATGATATATTATAATTTATAATGAGGAAAAAAGTCACTTTAAACCAAATAAATAAAAAAAGAAATAAATCCAGGATGTGCACCATAATATTTACTGTAGTTGTTTTCTCTCTTTTTCCAGCATAGTTTTTGTCTCTGCACTAGCAAGCTTATTCTGTAGCTAGGATTGTTGTGTGTGTGTGTGTGTGTGCATATGTGTGTGTTTGTGCGTGTGCGCGTGTTTCTGTTAAATTGATGGAGAGCTTGTTATTGTTGGTCTGGAAAGCATCCCTTGGGACTGAGAGGAGAAAGCAACCACACAGCTGAGACCACTCTCACTAAAGTCCTGTGTGTGTGTGTGTGTGTGTGTGTCTGTGCGCCTGTGTGTGTGTGTGTGTGTGTCTGTGCGCCTGTGTGTGTGTGCCTGTGTGTTGGTTGCCTCTCAAATAAATGTAGGCATAATAAGAGCTTTTGCCAGCTGAACACTCTCTCTCTCTCTCACCTCCCCTCGTCCCTTCCCGTTATTCATTTCCCAATCATCAGCACAAATATACACACATTTGTAGCTTTAGGATTACTCATTATGTCTGGTCTTTCTATTATTAGTTTTGTCATTTAAAGAATTGATCACTCCAAACAGAAAAGCCCAAACAAACCCAAAACATGCTCGTGATTCATGCCCTACTGTTGTGAGTCATACATAGTGCTTTTAGAAGGACTGTCTGTCTGTCTGTTTTGATGATGCCTCATTTAGTCAAACTTACTGTCGCATCCAGTCGACTAACAAACCTCAAACCTGCTGCATTTGTACATTTTAAAGATGTGGCGGTTTGCGTCTGTGCTTATGTGTTACTGAATTAATATCTCTGTTACAGATTGGTCATCATATTGAAATTTATTCTGTCTTATGTATTCAAAACTAGTGGCAAAGTGACATCATGAAGGTTTAAATTTTAACGACCTGGAATTTGAATATACTGAAAAATGTTGAATACTTGGTCACAGCATGAATGAGAGTGGAAAGACATTTGCATATATTTGTGTGGCACTATGAATAATTTAATAGTTGTTTCATTCTGGTTTACCCTTGGTGCAGAAAAAAAAATGGTATGAAGGCTGTTTGTTTGAGGCTTTTTTGTTTTAAATTGTTTGTTTTGTGAACTCTATTGACCGGTAGAGGTTACCTAAGGTACGCTGATTTTCTTTGGTAATTTTATTACATAAAACCACCGTATAGCACATTAACTATAATGCTGTGTGTGTGTGAGTATACTTGGCTGACGCAGGGAAGTAGATTTCCTGAAATATCTGGTTTAATGTGGCATAAAGGAGCAGCGCCCCACCACCAAC